CTGTGTGAGTGTGTGTGATATCTGAAGACATACCTTGTTAGAAATCACACTGATGACAGGCATCCTGTCAAACATCACTGAAATATGCCAATATTCTACTTCCCAATAGTAATAATTGCATGTCATCTAGTCCATTTTGACTTATGGCAACCCTTTTCCAGGGTTTTCCAGGTAGAGAGTACTCAGATTCCTAGACCACTGAACCATCCAGCCAGCTTTGCCTACTTGCCAAACACCTCATTAAACAAAAAAGGAGGAGGAGGAGGAAAAGGAGGAGGAGAAACCCTATTAGCATTTTAATAATACTCTTCTCAATAATTTTTTTGTTTCTCTGACTGAATGGTTGATTTAGCATAATCCTACTTGGCAGAAGTTTTCATTTATCAACTGTCCATTTCAATTACAGATTACATCAGTCAATCAATGCACACAGCATCATTTCCTCTCAAAATAAAAGGTGCCCATTTCCTTTGATTGAATGGTATTTAAAGTCAGTCCAATTGCTGGCTGATTTTAAGTTACAATCTGTTAAATACATTTTGAAATCCCTTTCTTTTTTAAAAACATACATATAAACCCTCATTGTTATCTGGACCAGGGCCATCACTCACCAGGATGGAGTTTAAACTTTCTCTCAACCTGTTTTTATTATAAAATCTCAGGACGCCCTTCCACAACTTGGGGACCTTCAGATAAGTTGGGCTACAACTAAGCCCCCAATCAATCATGCAGTCCAATATATACAGAGGCCACCAGTTTTAGGGAGGCTGCCTCAGAAAGCCACCTTGTCTCAGTGGTTTGATGATCCATAGAGCGTGATGATGCAATTCAAAGGCGGTGGTGGTGGTTATCAGCACCTACCTCTTTAGGGGGACTGATCCGAAGTGGGCAGATTCTCTGGGGTTCCTCTCTAGAGGCTTGCTGAAGTTCAATGGCCTGTTGTAGGTATGTTAGTCCCATCAAAATCTCATCTTCCAATAACATCACATCCTCGTAGGCAACGGGCCAACCTGCATTTTCTAAAACTTCTAGCAAAGATTCCTTATGTTCCACATATGATACTGGCTGATCCTGTCCAAATCTAAGAACAAAGTTATTGCATTTGGCTTCTGATCCCCATATCATGTCAACTACATGCGCTATGGGCTCCCAGATCCAGCACTCAAAAAGGTTTGCAGTAAGTATAGGGCACCTACATCACTGCAATTTTGGGGCCACTGGAAAAGCAAAAAGCAGCCTCCTTTAAACAGCAATCGATGGAAGACACAGCTCTTTTGGACTGCAGCTACTAGAATCCCACATCTGGGAGAGCCAGTGCTGTTCTGGCATTGGGATTCTGGGAGCTGTAGTCCAAAAAAGGTCCTGTGATGCAAAATATATATATATCCCAAACTTCACAGCATCTTTAAAACAGATTAGACTGATTAATGGAAGTCACCGAATTAGCCACAACAGAACCTGCCCATTCAGAACTGATATACCACTGAATACCAATTATGCCAACATGTTCCAGATTTCTTAATTTTGGGTTAGAAAAGTGGGAGGCATCTTATACATGGGGGCATCTTATACACAGAAAATACAGTATTTCCCAAGGAGTTCAGCATTATGGCTCTCTTTCTGTCAGCATTTTTATAAAATGAAAACCTTGAGTTGGAAAGCTAAGAAGGCCACCTCTTACTTCTCTTTATCCTCTTCAGGTAATGCTCTCCAAATAATTTGATCCAGGCGCCTGTAAATGCAAGCACAAACATTTCCAAGAATGAAGTCAGCACCCATCACATTAACATGATACTGAATAAAATGAGAGACCCTGAACTAAAAGGAAACTGAAACAATTGACATTCTGAGAGGATACAAGTGTGAAGCTGTCTTTGTTTGCCCACCATGAAGTACAAAGCTACTTCCTGAAAACAAAGGTCACTCATCTTCCAAAGTAACAGCATATTAATTTCTGAAACACTGAAGCTTGGTAAGGCATGAAAAATGAGCAAGCAGAGGGAACTGATTCCCCATCTGATTTATACACTGTTCTAGAGGATCCATTCATGCTTTACACCAGTGTTTCAACTGGAAGTGGGGCCATCAACCACTCCACCTCTGCAAAACAACAACAGATGAGTCTCCCACTTGCCTAGGAAGGTCCTTGAATTGCAGCCAGTAGTTCCTAAAAAATCTCTCATCCAACTTGGTGCCCTTTGAATGAATGGGGCTTCTACTCCCATTATCCCAAGTCAATGTGACTGGAAGGCATGGGAGTACTAGCCTAGCATCTCTGGAAGATGCCAGATAGGATAAGGCTAACAAAGACATTTGAAACATAGTATTTGTAGCTATAGCCATTAAAATACATCAATAACTCATTTCATGTTATGTAAAGGCTCACACGGAAGATCAAGCAGCATGGGCACTCCTATTCAAGTTCTTTCCTCTCCATGGGGGTTGTGTGTGATACCACAGGACTCTTGCCATAGATGGTGCAGACTAATGCAACTACAGTGCTAAATGCTTTAAAAGGCTTCAAGGATTTCAAATAAAGGATTCCAGTAGAAAATGTCAAGCATCTTAATCTCTGTTCCAGCTTTCCTCAACCTACTGCTCTCCAGATGTTTGGGATTACAGCACCATGACCACTGGCATAGGAGCTGTAGTCCAAAACACCTTGAGGGCTTCGGGTGAGGAATAGTGCTGCCACCATGGCAGCTTGCTGAAGGGAGGGGAAGCAGCGCTTGATGCACAACAGTGCCACCATTGCAGTCCATTGGAAAAAAAATCCTGCAGCTACCAAAGTAGAAGGGATTAGATGATACAAGGGGGCATTTGGGTTCTAGATAAGTGTTTCCCAACCTTGGATCCTCAGCTGGTCTTGGACTACAATTCCCAGAAACCCTGGCCAGCACAGCTAGTGGTGAAGGCTTCTGGGAGTTTTAGTCCAACAACATCTGGGGATCTGAGGCTGGGAATCCCTGATATAGATGATCCTTCACACCTGTTAGGCTGTAGGCTGGCTCTTCAGCTCAAGACTGGGTAAGCACAGACTGAATAGCTTTTCTGTTTCCCTCTCTGCATTGCCTTCAGACCCACCAGTCTTAACATGGATGCTTCTGCTCCATAATCCCACAGGTGACCAATCTAGCTGTGATAAAAGGAGAATCAGAACTCTAGAGGAGCTTGTCTGTAAGACACTGCATTGGTTCTGCACAGATTAGAAACTCAATCAGTTTATCCTAAAACTAGCATCATAATACTTTGTGATCAGAGAAGAGGCCAAGGAAGAGTGTAGGTTTTATATCCCTTTATGTTTATGTGCCTCCATGAGGCAACACACCCTAACATATGGAAAACAGTGAGTAGAACCGAGGGCCTGCTAGCCACAACTAAGCCCTGCTTTGATATCAGTGGGACTACAGGGTGCTTTGGTTCTTTTAATTTCAATGGATTTTAGTTACATTTAACTTTTATTCCACTGAACCCAGACTGTCTCTATAAACTGGATTTTAGAATCCTGTTCACCACCAGTAGAAACTGATGCCCTGCCAGTGCTATATAGAGGGACCTCCTGTGTGTGTGAATGTTACCTTTATGCAAAAGGAGTTCCTCAGTGAAGTTGGCTAAGTTAGACTTATGCAAGAAATTACTGAACCTCTCTAAAGGTCAAACCTACACTGTGTGAGTGGTTTGTTCCAGATAGGATCCTGGCTATGGCACCCAGAATACCTTCCAAATAAACAAGACATGCTAACATGCAGAATACTTAACGGAATTAACTTTTGAGGCTGCCTTATACTGAGGAAGGCTACGATTCTTGAGTCCTAATATTATCCATTCTGAGTGGCAAAGTTCCTGCTCTCCAATCCTGCAGGGAGAGATTTTTGAATTGCCTGCTGAATACTCAGCCAGATACACCAGAATGGAAATTGGGACCCCTTGCACAGAAGACACATATTCTGCCTCCAGCCTTCCTCCTCCGAATCCATCTTGCTGACAGCAAACTGGTGTCTACTAACAGAGATTGCCTTAACTTTAACAGCTGCTGAGCAAATACAGCCATGCAACAGGTTAATTAGCAAGTTCTAGTCATTCAATAGGAATTCCAAGGAAGGGATATGAAGAATCACAACCTGCAGAATAAAAGCTTTCTGGTGGTTTGTTTCTGCACAGAAATTCTGGTTAGGTGCCAAAGCCCACAGATGCAGTAACACTTCCCCTGATGGAATTTGGCAGAAGCTCTGGACTAAACCCATCTCTCTTTGAACCACAGATGTGCCCCTTTGGCAGGGCGCAGCTAGAGTTACCAAAACATGCCAGAGGCTCTTATGCATTCAGGGGCATAAACACTCCAGGATAATTTGTGTCTCACATACTCAAAACCCTTAATTTATTCACAAGGATAAAAATTTGAGAATGCTGGGTTCTTTGTTTCTGATAGGCACAGACTGTCGGCTAAGCACCTCCTCGTATTCCTATGCCTGTAATTACTCCACATAATAATTATTTCCAGTTTCAAGATCTCTTTTTTTGTGGGGAGGGGTCATTTATCACCCAACAGAAACTTATTTTCCTTTTAGAAATCATTGCGATCACTGTATTTTGCTTCTGCTGCGTTTTATGCTAACACCATTTAGATTATCAATCAGGAAAGCAGAAGTTTATTTCATGCACTGTGTGTGTATATGTGTGTGTGTTATAAAGCTTTTATGGGTAAATAAAAATTGCACAATTTAGCAGGTGCCAAATGGGTTTTTAACCAATCCCACTTCAGAAACTTGTGCTGCTACCCGTGTAAATTTGATTCCCAGAAATAGAACACACCAAACATGGCATAGTAGACAAGTTTGAACAAATGTGGCATTGAAATTCAGAGTTATTGCTTGGTCATTCATAAACTACTCCATACTGAGTCTTGGCGTCTTCATATTTCATCACCTTGAGATCTCAGTAGGGAAAATTGCAACTGTTTCAAAAATATGCAATTTTAGGGCAGGAAGATGAGCTAATCTATAAAACTACCCCACAAGATAACTTGAATAATCTCCTAAGAGGGATACTGGCTCTGTTCAGTTAATAGAAATCTATTTGACCTTATTATTGTGAGATGCAGACTTTGCAATGAAAGAAAAAACATTTCTCACTGTGAAACTGAGATTTCAAAACTAAGGGAGGAAGTCATATATGAATAATGAATAGGTATTACTATTTATAAACAGTAAATTAATCTCATACAATGTCTATTAATGTCCTGACCTTGCAAATGCCTTTTAACAAAGCATTTCACTTGCATGCTTATATCACATTCTGGTTTTAGCCAAGTTCAATGAGAGCACTGTCACTGAAAAAAATATACAGTGGTGCCTCACTTAGTGCCGTGAATCCATGCAGGAAAAAACGTTGCTAAGTGATTTCATCGCTAAACGGATTTTAAAAAGCCCATAGAAACGCATTAAAACGCCATTAATGCATTCCTATGGGCTTAACTGTTCAGTTAATAGAAATCTATTTGACCTTATTATTGTGAGATGCGGACTTTGCAATGGAAGAAAAAGAACATTTCTCACTGTGAAACTGAGATTTCAAAACTAAGGGAGGAAGACATATATGAATTAATGAATAGGTATTACGATTTATAAACAGTAAATTAATCTCATACAATGTCTATTAATGTCCTGACCTTGCAAATGCCTTTTAACAAAGCATTTCACTTGCATGCTTATATCACATTCTGGTTTTAGCCAAGTTCAATGAGAGCACTGCCACTGAAAAAAATATATTCTGATTGACTTACTCCATGAAATGGGACCACAGCTGGGAGATACTGGCTGTTCAATTACTCCTCCCCTCCCCTTTTTCTCCCTCCACTCTCCTCTCAGTGTGTCCTGCCATACTATTTCCTATGGACGATGGAGTTTTCCCACAAATAATTCATCCCATCACTCTTTGGGCCTGTTCACACATACCATTTGTTTTTGCTTAAGAGAGGATTCTGTTGCCCATTGATTGAGATCAGTTCAACACATCCACATGACATTACTAGAGTCTCAAGTCAATTCCTCCCCTTTCTCTGGATTTTTCCAGTTGTTTCTTGCATCTGTTCGTTCCTCTTGAACAGCCCAGTGTCTGTGGGCATCCTGCACAACCAAAACTCGCCCTGACATAAGGTGTGATGTTGAGGTGTTTTCTTTGGCACAAAGCAGGGCTGCCTCTAGCTGCCTCTCTAAATGGGGGTGGGTGTTTTTTTTTCCTGCTGACCAGACTTGCCTTTCATATATTTTTATTGCTTCTTTCAGCTTCTTCTTATAGGCATCGAGATCCACTGCCTGAGGATTAATCAGCGTGACAAATTTCTTATCATTGCTCACATGAGCAAAAGGGAGAACCTGCAGCATAAGAAAAGAAGGAAATATTCAAAACATAATATTCCAAATACATACAGTGACAGAATCAAAGTAGGCTGAGCAATAAAATAGCAAAACATTATAACCTTCACTACCATCACAACTCACACACACACACAAATGTAGCATAAATGTAGTACAGTATATGCTGTCCTTTCATAAAATTCAAAGAATGGTTTTCAACTTCAAAAAAATCAGTAAAAAACGCCATGTAACTAGAAATAATTGTACATTAAAGACAATAAAACCCAAGCACCACAAAACAATAACAATGTCCTAGAAGATCTTAAAAAATGAGAAAATAAAAATAATTACCTAACGCTAACATGACTATAAAGTGGCCACCATTTGAGCCTCTCTGGGAAAGTAAACTTTGGTAATCACCACCACCAAGGCCTTGGTAGCCACCTGCCAAACTGCAAAAGATTGGAGTACCTACAGAAGTCCCTCCACTGAATAACTTAAAGTACCACCATGTCTTAGAATGTTGCCAGATATAGCTTTGATTTGTGTAAAAACCGTGGGCAGTAGATAACAGCTCTGTTGTATTCTAACATTGTTCTGAGAAGGAACATTGAGGAAAGTAGCAGAGTGGTGAACAGAAAGAGGACGAGACAAGGAAAAATAGGCTTTAGCCAGTAAGGTTTAGTGAGATTTGGCAACAGAGGACAGCAAAACCAGCTTCCAGAACTATGAAAGTGATTGCCACCTTCTAATCCACAGCTGTATGATATTTGTAATTAAATTAGAATTATTTCTGTGTGGTCTGTATGCTTGATATTTAGCTAATAATAATTAATTAAATTTAATTAATACACTGAGGTTCTAAAGTGAAGTAAACATCACACATTTATTTATTTGCCTCCTGAGTGACTGCAATTGCTCCCAATCCTTACTATAAAAAACTGAGGTAAGAAAAAACAGTCTTCTTTCTTAAGCATTTTCAAGGCAGTGACATTATATGCTCTCTCATAGCCAAAATGTCCCCTTGGACTGACATTGTGTTATTCCAAGGAAAACAAAATGACATCTACCAGCACAGATAAACCAGAAGAAGATTTAGTATGTCTGCCTATACACCATGCTCTCGACTGTTTACCTGCAGATGGGGCTATGAAATGGAGGAAAATATCAGCCCAGAATTTATTTTATCAGTCCTTCAAGCAGCTAAAAGTACTTGATTTTTCAGAGAATAATGACAGTATCAGGACTGCCATATGTTCTGTATAATTAAACTGAAACTCCTATTAAATGTTTAATTTTGGCAGCATCGAAACACATACACACACACAACATTTAGAGAAATTTTCAAAAATGAAAATGTTAAATTAGAAAGGTCCATGTACTCTCCCCACTGTCTTTATCAGCCCTCATCATATAGTCAAATATCACTGGCTATGTAGCATCTTGGCATCATCTTATTCACTATAAGCCCCGTGGCACAGTGGTTAAATTGCAGTACTGCAGTCAAGACTCTATTCATCACCTGAATTCGATCTTGACAGGTTCAGGTAGCTGCCTCAAGGATGAATCAGTCTTCCATCCTTCCAAGTCTGGTAAAATGAATACCCAGGTTGCTGGGGGGGGGGGGGGGAGTTGTTGTTTGCAGAATTATGTTGTAAACCACCAGAGAGTGCTCTAGCACTATGGGGCGATATATAAGTTGAAACAACAAGGAACAACAACATTATGTGATCCTTAACTGTCTGAGGTTACAGACAGTTGAGAAAACAAATCACACCAAAGCAAAAGCAGATGGCGAAAATAGTGGCAACCTGATATGATATGCTTGGAAGAATATTCTCATGAATAATTTTTGTTTAGAACCTCCCGTGGTTGCTTTTGACCCCAAAATCAAGGAGCTATTCAACAGAGCTCTAAGTGTGCATTATGACTGGAACAATTGAGAATACAATTAGTTGAAACACTTGAATCCAGGAACAGTTGTAAAGCCAGAGTTTCCCCAGAAACAGTATAAAAGAGACTTACATCATCAAATACTTTTGAGACAACATGCTTGTCTAGAATTGGAATGTATTTCGTTGTACGCGGAACAGCTGTTGGAGCTAAGGCATCCATTATAGTGAGTCGCCTAGCAACTAATCCATAAGTCTTTAGCCAATGAGCTGAAGAGATATCTAAAAGGCTTTTTTAAAAGAAAGAGGGTAAGACAATGAGACACATTGATCAACTCAATTATGCATGTGTATATATATTTATATCAACCAGGGTGTCTCTCATCTTATATATACTTACCCTTTATCGATCTTTTTGTCATCTTTTTGTGTCTTCTGCTCTGTGAGGGAAATTAAAAGAAACAAGGTTATTATAGAGTTTTGCACATGGCAGCACTGAAAGACAGCACTCAGAACACATTGTACTGCGGGCATATCTCAGCAGAATGGAACCAGAAAGAGAACCAGCATAAAAATTAGTCAAAAACTGAAAGTAAGCAGACAGGAAGGCATGTGGACAGCCTGAGACGACAAGGCCAAAACCATGAGAGGCAGAACAAGTGGGCTGCTGGGTTGGGGAGACTATATTCGAACCTTGGGAGGATATTACACACCTTGTTCAGCCTTATCTCTTTGCTGTATTGAATAACTCCTGACAAAGGGCAACATAATATAAATGAGCAGAAAGGGAGAGAGAGGAAGAGACAGAAAGAGAGATTTTGGCATGGCCATATACTGTAAACCAGGGAAGGGCAACTGTGTCAATGAGAAAAAAATGTTTTATTCCATCTAGCATAATAGTGATGGATTGTGGGAATAATAATAATAATAATAATAATAATAATAATAATAATAATAATAATAATAATAATAATAATAATAATAATAATAATAATAATAATAATGTATAATGTTGTTGTTGTTAATTTGTTTTCTCGAAGGCTTTCACAGCGAAGATCTGATGGTTGTTGTGGGTTTTCCAGGCTTTTTTGGATGTGTTCTTAAGGTTTTTTTTACCAGTCTCTGTGGCCAGCATCTTCAGAGGACAGGAGTCAGAACTCTGTCTGTACTCTGTTGCAGTTTGTTGGATAGTTGAGTATTTATAGCTGTGGGATCAACCTTTTGTCCTTTTCAGGAGACTGGATGATTATGGTGACCAGAGTGTTTTTGTTGTGAGTGTATTGTTGTGATAAGGGGGGAGAGATGATCTGTCACTGTGATTGATGGGTGTCGTTAGCTGGTCTTTTATGAGCAGTGATCACTGGTCCTTGTGGTTGAGTAGAGTTCGTTGACCTTTTGCAGACTGTATTTTTCAGTGCTGGGAGCCAGGCTTTGTTGAGTTTTTGATTTTCTTCTCTTTTGTTGAAGCTCTGCTGGTGTTTGTGGATTTCAATGACTTCCCTGTGCAGTCTAACATAATGATTGCTGGTGTTGTCCAGTACTTCTGTGTTTTGAAATAGAATTTCATGTCCAGTTTGTTTTAGGGTATGTTCAGCTACTGCCAATTTTTCCGGTCATTTTAGTCTGCAGTGTCTCTCATGTTCTTTGAGAACAGAGAGGATCATGTGTGCAAAGGAGAATGATAGCCTAAGAGTCAGTAAAAAGTAGTCTAAATTGCAAGAGTATAGAAAAAAATTATTATTCTCCCTACACAGCTTACCTTTTCTTTCAGGTGAACCTCTTCCATTTTGACTTTGTTCAGAAGGTTTTGCTGCATACCGCAAAGTTCTAAGCATGCTACTCTTTGTTTGTTCTGTAGAAAGATTTTCACACAGAGAGAGAGAGAGTGAGTGAAATCCAAATGAATGGTGGTAAATTGAAAAAAATGCTCAGATTTTCAAGATGTCAAGTTGCTTTTAATACTTACAGCCTTCTAAGCAGAAAGGGACCTCAGTCTGATTCCATGGGTAAACATACAGTTTCCAGAATTCAATTTCTATAGTCTTCCAAATGCACTGGCTTAAATCCAGCTCACAGTCCCAACTGGAGTAGATCCACTGAATCAATGGGGTTTATTCTATCCTTTGACATAGCACTGAGCAACTGATGCGATGGGTATTTTCTAGTTGCAGCTAGCAATTCTGGATTAGTATTTTCCTTTGGGCTTTATATATTTTTCAAGCACATTAGCTATATATTATAATTCTCAGTTAAAGATGTTACAAGTTTCAGAGTAGAGCAGGGATAGCACTCAAAAGCTTTGAATTTGTACTTCAAACTGTTTGTTACAACATTTGCGCTCCAGGATAAGAGGACTCTAGCTTTTTGGAACTGAATCATATGACAAAAGGACGACCGATCTTGAGACACAAAGTGAAAGGGATCTTCGGAAGGGATGGCCCCCACCACTCGCTTTCACAAGGCATTGCGCAGGGTTTCCATTATTAGTTCCCCAATACCATTTTTGCGGAAATTAAAATGGTGGAAGAAATAGCAGGAAGGTTACCAATGAAAACAGAAAGGAAATATTTTTTTCTACATTATTTTGGCAAAGCAATTGCCAATGGCACGATAGCAATCTCATCTGAGAGCTGTTCCTACATTACTTATATAGTTAGATTCAACATGAAGCGTGGAAAGTGATCAGCTCCGTTCTCTCCACAGCCCTTTTTCCTTGCCTTGCCTTTCCTATATAGAAAATGATACTTCTAAAGAAAAGAGGTCCCTGTTCACATGAAGGCTCTCCCTACAAGGAAGACCTTGTGTCCAAAGATTAATTGCTCATGTGGAGATACTCCACAGGAAGAGGGACCATTACTCTTCAGACTCATCGCCTTGAGGAAAACAATAATGGACGAAGTATGATGAACATCCCCACTTGGCATATTGAATTCAGGTAGTCCAATCACTGTCTGGATAGGGCTCTGGCTGTACATTTATTTTGAATCAATTGTTAAAAATCAGAAAGTCTGGATTTCAGGTGAACTCTTAACGAAGATTTATCTAGGAATGAGCCCCACTGAATTCAGTGGGATCTACTTCCAAGTGTCCATCAACAGGAAATTTCCAGCTAAGAAAGACCTCTTTTATCATTTAGTCCAAGCAAGCATAAAAGTCCCAGCTAAGAGAAAGCAAAGTGTATATAACATTCTCCAGGTAGCAGCTTAATTTGAGGGAGGGAGGATCAAACATTTTAAGCAGAATTATACTCATTAAGGAAAAGGAACCACCACAATAATCAGAGGAACATGAGAAACTGTTCAGCCATGATTAAGTTACATTGATCCAGGCCTTTTAAACAAAATCCCCCCCTCTGTTTTTCTTCTCTTGCCATGGTAGAATGAAATTCACATGACTTAAATCTAGTGCATCATTGGTGTTAAATATAGTGATATAGGAAGCAACCTGGGTCCAGTACGTATTAGAAATGGGACATTTTTACTCAGTAGTTTTCATAATCACTTTTACCTGCATATAAAACTGTCTTCTTTCTGGTTGGGCTTTCAGATCGTGCCTGACATCCATCCATACCAAGCTGTGGTGAAGCTGATGCAGGTTCTTCAGAGGCACAGTATGGCCTATCGGGAGATGGGGGATTCAGCCCCTCAACTTGTGGGACTACAATGAAAGCCTGTCTGCGATGTCTGTTTAAGAAACAGACAAGTCACCATCTGTGCAAAAGTGCACCCACCCACATCGGGGAGAAAATATTCTGAGAAGTGTGAAATCCCAACACACACAGCTCATGTTTGTATTTGGTATGATTTTGGTGGGAAAATGTACATGATGCTCAGAAAAAGGCGAAAAAAATCTATGTGAATTAACATCACAAGAAGAATTATCTGCTTCAGAGAAAGCACATAATAAGTGAACACAAATAAACCCCTTTGGAGCCCAAGGAATCTGACTTTACTATGTTCAGGTGGGATCATCCTTCCTGGCATTGTCTTTCCATGTGCTTCAGAGTCAAATATATGGTCAGAGAAATGCATTTTTCCTGTTCTCACATGGTTCTCTCTTAAGCAATTTGATTTGCTTTGTTATACATGAAAAAGTTGTTGTTTACATTCCAGGTATAATCCCAATGACACATGTGCTACTCCTTTCAATGTGTTTTCACAATTATGCCTCTTTTGCTTCCTTAGGAAACATTCCCAGAAACAGATTTCTCTGAATGTGTGCTTTGGCCATCAGTCTTGAGGCAGTTCCAACTTGGAACACACCAAACATTAACAAAACAGTGGGGTACATGCGCACATGTGCACATGAACCAAAATGCCTCAGTGAACAGGACAACTGAGGGCAGATACACATGCAAATTTTTATTATTTGGACATGGGGCTTTCTGCTCTTTGGCAGCAGAATCCTTTGACTGGTTGAACAAGAAAACCTTTTTGTACCACTCCTCAAGCTATATATTAATATATGTGGTGCCCTGGAAAATAGCAGCCTGTGAAAAATTAACCAAGCAGCAGACGGTCTCACAGAATACATCAAGGGGGGGGGGGAAGTAGAAAACTGGAGGGAATATGAACTTAACAATAATGTATTTATAGACAGGAACATCAGATTGAGCTCTAAATTGAAGACTTCTTCATATTTTGCTACACGACTTTTTTATTCTTTACTGTTTTACAATGTGGATACTGAATAAAAAAAAGGTTCCCCTTGACAATTTGTCCAGTCGTGTCCGACTCTAGGGGGTGCTCATCTCCGTTTCCAACCCATAGAGCTAGTGTTTTTTCTGAAGACAATCCTCCATGGTTATGTGGCCACCGCGACTAGACACGGAACGCTGTTACCTTCCCACTGTGGTGGTAGCTATTTATCTACTCGCATTATGCATGCTTTTGAACCGCTAAGTTGGCAGGACCTGGGACAAGCGACGGGAGCTCACTCCGATGCGTGGATTCTATCTTACGACTGCTGGTCTTCTGACCTTGCAATACAGAGGCTTCTGCGATTTAACCCGCAGTGCCACCACGTCCCTTTTGGATACTGAATAAGTAACAGATGATAACAGGGACAGAAGCAACAGTCTTTCTGATTTTATTCCCCTTAATAAAAAAGGAGGAATTGTATTTCGATAGCATTAATATTTTCCCAAAACCTTTTCTATTCAAAGTAAAACACCTCTGTTCGTATGTCAGACTTTTTCATCCTCACGTTCACTCAAGACAAAACATGTAATAGGCAAAGTGTGATGTAAAAAGGGAAGCCTGTCTGTATACATACTTATCGTGAAGTTCTTTTGCTCCATCAAACAAGTCCGTCAATACATTGTCAGTGTGAAATGTCTGTATTTTCTTCAGCTCCTTTTCTCCTTTTTCAATCTCTTTTCTAAGCAGATATATATCCTCACACTGTCAAAATGAAAAATAATCGATCACTGAAATAAAATTTTACAACTGAAATAAACCAGTTGTAAACCAGATAATAAACTTGAGCTAATATTTTTGAAAGAAAGGGGTTTATTTTCAGAGCATATCAAACCTTGGTTCGTTGAAGTGCTTCCTAAATCTTATTTTTGTATTTTTGGTGTTTATTTCATCTTAAGTTATTTTTTTGCTGTTCATTAAATTTTTACATCTAATTCTGCATCTTGGTATCAACACTGAAGCACCTCCTCCAAATGCAGTTTGGATCAACTTAAGAATTCACTGAAACAAATATGCCAAATTGGAAAGTCCTTAGTTGAAAATGGATGACTTTTAACTGTTAATGAAACAACTGATTTAACAACCCAATGAGGTGACAAATCTTGGAACTACATTTTCTGCTAAATTTGACAGTGATAGCATTGATGTCTGCTTATTCATTATTCACTATTCTTTATGCCTCTTTCTTTTACTAATACATACAGTGGGGTCTTGACTTGAGAACTTAATCCGTATTGGAAGGCAGTTCTCAAGTCAAAAAGTTCTCAAGTCAAATCTGCATTTCCCATAGGAATGCATTGAAAACCATTTGATCCGTATCTGCTCTTTTCCGTCCATAGAAACTAATGGGAAGCTGCTATTCCTCCTTCGACACTAGAGGGGGATATTTTGTTTCTTTTTTTCTTAGGCCAAGAAAGGTTCAGGGAAGGCAGGGAAAATACAGTCCAGGCAGTACAGTACCAGGCAGTCTGAGGACTGTCTCCCAATCCACTCTCTAAACGCTGGGAGGAATGAGGAAGCAGACAGGCACCCTTTTCACTGGCCAACAGTTAACTGAAAGTTCAAATTTTGCACTTTCCCTGCCTCCCACGTGGTTTTTTTTCAGTTCTTAACTCAAATCTAAGTATGTAAGTCAAGTCAATATTTTCCTATGAGAGCGGTTCTTAAGTCAAAATGTTCTTAACTCAAGCCGTTCTTAAGTCAAGACCCCACTGTAGTTCAAAGCTCTCTATGAGAATGCACCTATTTCTGACACACAGCCCCTCCATTTTCTATGGCCAATAGTCTTCAAGAAACACCAGCAATCCACGGTTTGGCCAAGGGGGCATGACGGTGAAATGAGGCACCCCCTTCCAGTTGGACCACGTTAGTCGTAGGCCAAAGAATTTAAAGGGAAAAACATAAATCTGTTACTGCAGCACGGTTCATTATTCATAATACTAAGAGAGGTGAAATGAAATATGGAAAATGTCCTTTTAAATGTCACACTAAGCAATCAGACTAGACTCAATTGTTTAAATAAAGCTCATCAGTTTTGCAAATTTGATTTGGATATAAGTTCATTTGCTTCACAAGCAAGTATTCTCTTTGCAGATTGAAATCAGAACACACAGTTATTAAAATCTGTACGTATGTATGTGCACAGCACTTGCAAATGAGGCTTTTACTGCACTGTTATCTGCCTCGTAAATGTTATGAAGGTACAAACATCAGTGTCTCCCATGAGAAATATCCACAGAGAGCAAAAGATACAAGAGGTGCGCTGCTTTTCATTGCTAGCTAGGGTCAATTTGTCTAGCAGGACAAAAACATATGCAAACACATAATATATCAAGGCTACTTAATTAATGCAAAGCTGCTTCTTTCACCATTTGGTATACACTGGCTAGATATTACACAGGATCATGAAGAGTTGGCATTGTTAGGGGCTTTCCAAGATTCACACCACAAAAAGGAGATCATTGTTGGCTTTAAAGCCCCTCGGACCTCTTCCCCTGCTCCTTCTACCCCTTCCATCTTCCCTCTGCAAGCATGTGAGTTGTATGACAAAAGCAAGGAAAAGAACAGCAGCAACCTCCACTCACTTTCACCCATACCTCTCCTCAACAGGGGTGCTGGCTGGGCCAAAAGGGAGACAGCAACCCCACCAAGAGCATTCTGCTCAAAATCTGGAACCAACACTACATCACACTACTGTACACAAAGGAAGACTGATTTACTTGTCTATTATGTACAACACAACTAGTAAATGTCCTAGGGCAGTTTACAAGTGCATGAAACTAAAACAACACAAATTGCAAGGTTTCCTTTCAATAACCAAACAAATAAATCAGCTGAAATCATGTCAAACATTAGAATGTTAGGAGGCAATAACAAAGCTTAAACAGTAAGAGTAAGGGCAAAAATAAAAATTAAGAAGTCAAAATCTCCTAAAAAAGGAAGTTCTTACCCTGACATCCAGATGTTAGTAATGAGGACTTAAAAGGTTATCCCACAGTGTCTAAAACATGGCAGAAGTACTCAGTCAGTTGATCTTCCATCTCACCATCTAACACAGTGGTTCTTAACCTTGGGTTACTCAGGAGTTTTTGGACTGCAACTCCCAGAAGCCTTCACCACCAGCTGTGCTGGCTCAGGTTTATGGGAGTTGCAGTTCAAAAACACCTGAGTAACCCAAGGTTAAGAACCACTGATCTAACACAGTGTTCCCCAAGCAGATGTACTTGGACTTCAACTCCCAGAAATCCTGGCCAGCAGAGGTGGTGGTGAAGGCTTCTGGGAGTCGTAGTCCAGGAACATCTGGCGGCTGAAGGTTTGGGATCACTGTTCTAACTGGTGTCCATTTTGCTTTGCATGCAGGAATGGTTTTGAGCCCTCAATTTACACCTTCTAAAGAACATTGTGCATGGACTGCCTTCATCTGATGTTAGATTCTAAGACCTCTTGGTGTAAACGAGGAACACACTTAATATTTTGAGAATAACTTTTAAAGACTTGCCTCAAAAGGTTTTGGAGCATCAGGCTCTCTCAGACAAATGTGGTAGTAATGAAACCGTCCACCTGTCTTACTGGCCAGCTCATGTAAGAATTTATTCGCTCCGGTATCATCACAGTTAAAGGAAATAGTGTGAATTGGAATATTCTGCTGAAAATCAAGCTGGGCTAAAATTCTATTAGGGGGCTGCAAAGACACAGAAAAGAGAAAACAAAGTGTGTTAATATAAAGATAGTTAGCAACTAAATACTGCAGAAAATATTGACTACTTTCAATCATTTATTAAGTTTTAATTTATTTTTCCTCCAATAAAGGGGCTTTTATGGCTGACAAATGCAGCTAAAAATCCAATAAATTACCATATTTTAAAAAAGCAATTAAATATATTCTCATATTAAAACTTCCCCTGAATTAAAAACATAAAGAATGTAAAGGTTTTTAAGAGCACATCAGAAAAAGATGCAGAAGTATAGCCCTATCTATTAATGCTCCTTCTCTGGAAGCCAATTGGTTTTGGAAAACCTGCCCTCCCCCAAAAAAGACCTTTGCCTGCTGGTGGAAGGACAATAGAAACACGTCCAATCTGGCCTCCCTTGGAAGGAAATACCATCACCTGGGAGCAGCTATTGAAAAAGTCCTCTCTTATGTCATCATCACCAGTTCCTACCATGCAGATGACTGGACAAAGAGAACAGCTTCCTGCAAAGACCTCACAATCCAAGAAGGCTCATTTGAGGAGATGCAATTCCTCACAAAGCCTAGACTCAAGTTGTGCTGGGCTTTATAGGTCAAAAACAGCACTTTGATTAGTATCTGGAAACAGGCTGGTAGGCAATGAAGTGGTCATGCAAAGGAATCTTGGTCATCCCTGAGACCAGATCTGGCCACAGCATCCAGGACCTGCTGATGTTCTGCAAAATTTTCCAAAGGCAAGTCTCATGTATAATGTTAACAATAATCTAAATAGGATGTAACTAAGGCATGCTTCCCTGTGCCTTCAAACTATATTATCTAATGTCACACAGAACTCAAGAGGCATAAAAACATCTAGTAATGACTGTTGTTACCCATTAATGCCCGGGACTGCTGAAGCCCACTTAAAAATAGAAGGAGCTGAATTTCCTTTTGCAGACATTTAGCAATACAATTCCAGGCATCAAAGGGTCTCATTCCTATTTCGATACTCTTGCCAATAGCCCAGGCATCCAAGACACTTCAGACTGACCTGGTCCTGTCTGGTCTGTCTGGCTAACAGAATTATGGTTGGTTTTCCACACCCATTTACGGTGGTTTCCCAGAGGACAGTTAATTACCTGACTCCAGGACAGTTAATTACCTGAACAATTGGTTGTGTACCACAAGGTGCTAAACAGAGAGATTAGCAAACCACCATTTAGACAAGCCCTCAGGTAATACTGGTTAGGAGGAGCTACCCTCTCCCTTCCATGTATTCCCCAGTGCTATTTCTGTATTGCATCTTCTTCACACTGCCCAAGTGACCTCCATTCAAGCTCTCCTGGCTATTTCTCCTCCAGCACCTACCACAAAGCTGCCCCTGCTTCCTTCTCTCTAAATCTCCTCCAGGAACTTAATCTTTGAGGCTTCCCACTCTCACCCTTAACCAACCAAAATCCATTGTGGTTTCTGACCCATATTCATCACCACCACCCTGCTATTGTGATCACTCATCACTATTTGTCCAAGATAATATTTGTCCACTATTTGCCCACAGCCATACTTCTCCCATCCCCCACCCACCAGTATTCGGAAATTCCTACTTCGGGGTTGGAAAGACCATGCTTCCTTCTGTTACTCCACCACCACCGTGTCCTCCTCCCAATCTCTCATGGTCCCTGTGTGTGACTGGAACAAAAGATGGGGAGGAGACAAAGGCACTTCCGTGTGACTTCCTTGAACTGTCAGCTGAGTTGGGTCATCCCTGCTGGAGCCTCTTGTCTCAAGGCTCTGCTTTGTCATATGGCCAGTGTTACATCATCATGCCACCCTGACATGCTTTACTTATTCCATAGATACCTGATCAGGCCTCCCATCAGTAAGAAGGTAAATGGCTTGAGTCTCAGTATCAGAAAAGGCAATCTGAAGTGCTTTCAGAGTGTCTGTGGAACTTCCAACCTAATCAGTCGGTGGGAAAGCAATAGGGGGGGAAATTGAGACGTTAGTGCTGCTAAATTTACAGAATGGGTTGTCAAATTTATTTGTCAAGTATACTGGTGTGAAGAACCAAGCAACTTATTCCACATAATGGCTAGTCCAGACTTTGTTTAGTCTAAATCACAAGATGAATAAAGGTGAAACAGAAGTTAACCGGAGTTTAGGATTCAGTGATTCTTTAAGTAAAACTAAGATTTATCTAGATGAGTTTTAAAGGAAGGCTGCTAGTTATTTGGATTAAGTGGACTCCACATTGGCATACAACTCCATTGGCACCAGGTACAAATGCCACTTTGCCACAGAGGAACTGGCTAAATATACTCCTAAGTACCTCCTTTTCTTCTACAACAGGACTTGAGAACATATACCCCATGAGACAAACTCAGAACGCCAGGCCTCTCAGTCCAGACTTCCAGATTCTCCCAGCTCATAGCTTCTCTCACCACTAAATACTATTTACTCTGGCCTGCAGTATTTCTCCACTACAATGCCTGGCAGGGTGACATCCACAGGCCTCTCCCATGGAATGCTAAAGGAAAAGGTACATTCTTGATTCAAAGACATTCCCAGAAAGGTTCCAGTGTTTCTAATAGACCCCTGCTTTAAGCCTTAGGAAACAGGCTAAAGCAAAGCTTGCAGAAGTTACCTTTTTTTTTTTCAACAAGCCCGAGTCCCCTAATCAATATGGTCAATGGTTGTGTTCATTAGGGGATTCTGGTAGTCCAAAAAGGAACTTTTCCATACTTTGGCTAAAGCTAAAAGCATTTTCACACAAAACACTACAAGGTTTCAGTGGCTCAGAAGTCCAATTCAGCCTCCACATTCTTGGTCCAACAAGGCATGACAGTCCTCGCTCCATGAAGCTGAATTAATACAAGACATTTTAGCTTATTTAAGCCACAGTTTTCTATTACACATGAATTAGTAATTGTGATTTGACTGTTCTACTAACCAGGATCAGAACACAGTTTGCACTCCAACTAGTTTCCTGATTCCAAGAAACTTTATTCTGATTTGAGAGATTTCTGGTTTTAGATTACAATTTCCACATGATGGTCCCAGGAGAAGTCTGGAAGGTGTAGTTCAAAAACAGAAATCTTCACACCTCTAGTTTCCACTATCTAAGAAGTTTTATGTTAAATTGGACTTGTGAGGAAAAGAGACAGGTGATCCAGCCATGGTACCATGGCTGCAGTGCCCGTGCAGGGTTTGGGGGACCTTGGGTTCAGCCACAAAGGCCCCTAGATGATCTTGGACCAGTCTCTGTCTTCCACTATGGGGATGAATACATGGGCATTCGTCCCACTGTAGAGACAGGTTGGTCCATTCCTTTTGCCAGAGACCAGATGATGTAAGTGCCATTCAGGGACTGTGTTTTAGGTGCAGATATAATCGCTCTAATTTGATTTGTTTCCTACACATGCAACCAATAGGACTGAACTAAATTGGAGCTTGCTGCTTTAAATTTCCCTTCTACTTTCAATTTCCCAATATCATGAAGTGGCTTAAGAAGACAGCTTAGCCACTTCACGATGTTGGGAAATTAAAGAGTTCATCTGTTTCTCCATAGAGGGGCAAAGGAGAGGAAGAAAAAGTTTAAAAAATGAAACTACTAGGACAGCACTGATGTGCCATACCTTTCAGAAGAAAAAAAAACTGAAAGCTTCCTCCTAGAATGAGGAAAGAGAAGGGAGGTTTCTTTTCATTGTTTTCTTAAGGGCAGTGGGCCAAATAGGGTTATTTGAGCTGCATATGCCATGTAGATGCAAAGATCACACTGGACCTCTCTGCAAACTTAAGCAACCCTGTTTAGCCCACTCCAGCCCATTCCAATTGAGCCAAGCAGTCAAGCCCTATAATCTACTTCACCTCAATATGGGAAAGATAAAATGGAGCGATCCCATGCACACCATCCTGAACTCCTTGGAAGAAGGGCAGAATTAAAATGCAATTAACAGCAGCAACCCATGAGCCTTGTAATGTGGCACTCACAAGAGGCAATGAGAATGCATGCTGAAGGAGACAGAATGTCTAGAAGACTACCATTTGTTGGAATAGGAATGTGTCATCCAAAACACTCCTTTCCCAGGTAACTTGCATGTGCACGTGGATGTGACTATGGGCTAGAAACTTGAAGAGATTCAGTCATGCATACTAGCAAGCATGAGTACTACATTCCAATAACAATCACAGAATATGCAAATACTGATATATATGCAAAAACTCTAAGCTGCCTCTCATTACTTTCAAGGACACCTGTAATACAGTGCTCTGATATAACAAATCATTACACAGGAGTTCCAGAAACAATCAAGCAAAGCTACCTTTAAGTTCTTTTCTATACTTACCTCCAGTTCATTTACCCAAATTAAGGCGTCCTCCAAATTACATTCATTAACTTTAGCAAGTTTCTCTTTCCAAGATACCACCTCACCGTCAAATCTGACAAGATTAAATTTGGCCTTATGCTGTAGTTGTTCCTGCAAAAAAAAATGTTCCACTGAATTCCTGTAATGTTCCACTTTTTTTCATTTATATATATAAATGTATATACAGTGGTGCCTTGCTTAACGGGCGCCCCGTTTAATGATGAAATCGCTTTGCGATGAAGATTCTGCGATCGCTTTGCGATGTTCCCTATGGGGGAATTTCACTTTGCGATGATCAGTTCCCTGCTTGGGGAACCAATCATGGCAAAGCAATGCTTTTTAAACAGCTGATCGGCGCCACACGCTACCCCCCCAGAGCTCCTGCATAAATAGGGGACAGCAGGAGGGGGGAGCGGGGGCGCTCCAGATTGGTACCTCAGGAGGAGGGAGGGAAGGAGGGGTGAAGGGCCTGGCCGCGATCCCCGCGTGCACCCCTGGGGTGCCGAGCCAGAGAGCCGTCGTGGCGGGAGGCGCTGCAAAGGAGAAGGCGCTCGCCCGGGACCGGGATCAGGGTGGCAGCGGCTGGACCGGGGGGGCGGTGTGCCAGAGATCCCCTCCTCGCCCCGTCTGCGCCCCGCCAAGGAGACCGGGCGTCTGGGGTTGGCTGGCTGGCGGTGGGTGGCGCACCCCTTGCCGCCCCAGGTGGCTGCCTGCCTCCGCACCCTCCTCCTGCCGCTTGCCGTCCAAGGAGGCGGGGCGTCTCCC